TGCCAGCATTAGTATTTGACATCATGCACAAGTTGTCTTTCATATTGATACCTACTGTCCTATCTCAAGACATAATTGTAAGCTCATATGGGGATATGGCTGAAGGATTGACATGACTTTACATATTGCTATTGCCACATCATCAGTTCCTCACATCATGCCCAAGTTGGCTTTTAAGCTAGAGAAGGCTATTCATGTTGATATCTACTCAATACATGGTCAACTTACAACATGACCTGTCTTCAAGACACCTCAAAGGATGAATCAGCCCATCATCCTACAGCCCTCAAAGACCTGTATCAAAGTTGACTATGTTTGGGACAGGCCAGTAGTTATCAATGTGAAAGCAGACAGCATGAAATGCAAACTTGGTCATGATGTCAAAAACTGGTCATGTCATGTCAATGAGCTTACAATTATGTCTTCAGATAGGACAGTAGGTATCAATATGAAAGACATGGAATGGCCTTTCCTAATGTGACAGACAACTTGTGCATGATGTCAATACTAATGCTGCAGCACTGTCAATATGATGGCAATCCTTCAACCTCATCCCCATAACATAGATAGGGCCAAGGACACCATAAACTACATGTCAACTACAAGCTTTTTTAAATGAAAAAGCAGACACTACAAACTCTTCTAATAAAAAAGTGCACACTACAAACTTTTGTAGTCTCAAAAAGCGGACACTACAAACTTTTCTAATGAAAAAGCCCAACACTACAAACTTTTGTAGTCTTAAAAAGCGGACACTACAAACTTTTCCAATGAAAAAGCGCAACACTACAACTTTTGTAGTCTCAAAAAGCGGTCACTACAAACTTTTTTAATGAAAAAGGGCACACTACAAACTTTGTAGTCAAGATAACCTTTTGACTCTAACCCTAACTATGTAGTCTAAGTCCACGCTTTTGTAGTCTAAGTTCGACTTTTGTAGTCTTTTGTAGTGTATTAGTAAACTTTGTAGTCTAATTTCGACTTTTGTAGTCTTTTATAGTGTATCAGTAAACTGTGTAGTCTAAGTCCGACTTTTTTGTAGTCTATCAGTAAACTTGGTAGTCTATATCTGATTCTTATAAGTAGTACAGGATGCACCTTCCTTTTTTGGTCATTTTTCCCACGATACAATAATTGTAGCCCTTTCTTTTAGCTTTCTGAATATACTGAAATCATGTTATTTGGTTTTGTTTTCATAGAGAAAAACACAAAAAAAAAAAAAAACGCAACGCTTTTGAAATTCCTTTACCTCATATCTCCACAACAGGAGCACTTCAGAACATAATTCAAACAGATTCGGGAAGCTACAGTGTAGGGCTACAACTTTCGTTTTTGACCATTTTTGGTAATTGGTCATGTGACCACCCTCCAGGGAAGCCCATTGCATGGACCCTGACATGTGGGATACATTTGAAAAATCACAATGAAATGCCCAGGGCTACATTTGAAATTTTGCAATGAAATACCCAGGGTATCTATTGAAAAATCACAATGAAATACCCAGGGATACATTTGAAAAATCGCAATGAAATGCCAAGGGTATCTATTGAAAAATCGCAATGAAATACCCAGGAATACATTTGAAAAATCGCAATGAAATGCCCAGGGCTCCATTTGAAAAATCGCAATGAAATGCCCAGGGCTACATTTGAAATTTTGCAATGAAATACCCAGGGATACATTTGAAAAATCGCAATGAAATACCCAGGGATACATTTGAAAAATCGCAATGAAATACCCAGGAATACATTTGAAAAATCGCAATGAAATGCCCAGGGCTACATTTGAAATGTTGCAATGAAATACCAAGGGATACATTTGAAAAGTCGCAATGAAATACCAAGGGATACATTTGAAAAATCGCAATGAAATGCCCAGGGCTACATTTGAAATTTAGCAATGAAATACCCAGGGTATCTATTGAAAAATCACAATGAAATACCCAGGGATACATTTGAAAAATCGCAATAAAATACCCAGGAATACATTTGAAAAATCGCAATGAAATACCAAGGGATACATTTGAAAAATCGCAATGAAATACCCAGGGTATCTATTGAAAAATCCCAATGAAATGCGCCAGGTATCCATTGAAATTTTGCAATGAAATATCCAGGGATACATTTGAAAAATCGCAATGAAATGCCCAGGGTATCTATTGAAAAATCGCAATGAAATATCCAGGGCTGCATTTGAAATTTTGCAGAAAATGCGCTGGGTATCTATGGAAAATTCACTATGAAATACCCAGGCCTACATTTGAAATGCCTTTCAAAAAATCCTAAGCATTATAGATATGGCCTCTAGGCTTAAGTCTAAGTTATAGAAATGACTCTCTAGGCTTAAGTCTAGGTTATAGATAAAAGTGGTAGCCACCAGTCAGGGAGTCCTGAACTTGAAGTCAGACCAAAATTCACCTGCCATCTAAGTAATAAAATACCTTTGTAGTAAGTTTATAACCTTGGCTTTGAAGAAATTCTTCAACCGTGTTGCACCATGCAGTGGCATTGGGGGAAATATGAAGAAAAAGTCGCGACACGAATTCTAAAACTCGAATATCAACAGCCAGGGAAGGGGCAAATGGTGCCGAGGGAAATAATCCGCGTTGGAGCAGCTGGACCGCAGCCGGTCGACATTTGCAAAATTGAAGTTTCAACCTTTCAAGAACTGGAACGCACTTGTTAGTATCTCAACGCCTAACAGGAAAGACACATACCGCAGAAACGAACTACGATAACCTCTAATGCTCTTGTGATACATTGACAGGTGAGGGTGGTGGCGAAAGCATCCTCGGGGATCGGCAGGCGAAATGATTCTGTCTGAGAAACGAGCCGCATGTACGGCATAATGAGGCGAGGGATCACTTCAGATTTCCAACGAATGGTTTGATTTTCACGTTTTCGTCGGTGATTAGAGACAGGAGAAGCAGCAATGTTGGCGGAAGGAGACGAAAAGAACATGATGCCACTTGGATCATCGAGATCGCCAGTGACATCAGCGGTTTGCGAGCCGTCCGCGGAGAGTGATGAGCAGCTATTGAGGGGTCGATCACCTGCGAAGCCGACCTGTCCTGGCAATGGCTTGAGATTTCTTTGCTGGCTAAACGTTCTCTCGTCTGGTAGGAGGACCAGTGGACGAATTCCACTTGGCCTGGAGAGGTAGTGGACAGCTTTGCCGCTTATCGGGGTGTAAGATAATGGGCTCGAGGATGGAGTGAAATTTTTTGGGATGCGAGGTCGCATGTCGGGAAGAGGTTGGAAGAGGAGGCAAATGTGAATGGAAAGGGATTGGAAAGTTCACGAAGTCGGAAGAGGAGGCAAATGCGGATGGAAGAGATCGGAAACTTCATGAGCGGCAGCAACCGCTCCCCACAGTCCCGATCTTCAATGGACCCTCGCAATCAAGGTGGTTACCAACAACACGTGCCCAGCAACCCCGGTCCACGCTCCCCTCACTCCCGAACTTCAGTGGATTCTCGCGATCGCGGTGGTTACCAACAACGAGCAGCCGCTGACTCCAGTCTTCGATCTCCTCGCTTACGATCTTTAGCGGATCCCGGCGATCATGGTCTGGACTACCCACGAGCATCCACCAACTCCGGTCCACGCTCTCCTCGTTCACAATCTTTGGCAGATCATCGTGATCGTGGTCAGGACTACCAACAAGCACCCCTAAATTCCCGTGCCCGCTCCCCTCACCCTCGATCTACAACAGATCCTTATGATCGTGAGCAAACTCACCAACGGTGGGATCCCGCAATTCTACCTCAGACGAAGAAGCCTTTTCAGCCAGATCCGGTGAACCATGATCGTCGTGGCTACAATCGAAACTTTTACACTGGCGGGGAAGATGATGAATATCGACACACCCGTGATTTCACCCCTGGGCACAATCAGAGTCGCTACCACGAAATTGATTCTGATTATCGTGGTGACGCCCGTGAGGCACCCAATCCACCTTCACTCGACCGCCAGCATACCAGTCACAATGAGGATGGCCATCGTCATCCTGATCGATACAATGCAGGCCCCGCACGCAGTCACTATGCCATAGAAGACCCTCACAATCTCGCAAAGCGGTCTTACAACGAAGAGGATGTGGGACATCCTGTCATGGGTGCTACTTACCCTGAGCCACCTCCAAAGAAGCGTAAGATATCGCAGTTGGATGACGGCGCTATCCGCAAGGTTGCTCCCTTGCCAGCACGGCGAATCCCATCTGGTGGTCGCCCGACCTCTCCAAACAACGGCAGGCCAGGTTCTTCGAAGGATTTGTCGAGAGGTTATCCTCCGAACGGAAGGCGCTAGTTTGACTTCGTCGTTTCATTCTCTATCTGAATATTTCATTCCCTATTAGTCTACTTGGTTATCTCATTTGCTACCCTATGTTTTCAAGTATGATTTATGATTGCTATGTTTTACCGAGTTCTATGCACTCTATGTAGTATGTTATCCTTACAAAGGTTGATTTCCGTGACTGACAACCACCTTAGCAATTTTCTATCTGTTTGTGAAAGTTACAAGTACCTGTAGTATGTTAGTATCTTTGCGCACAACACCAACCAAC